CTCCTAAAAAACCAAATAAAATGCTTGCATTTTGTCCCTGAACTTTCAACCCTCCGTGTTCATATCAGGTTTTCCTCCATGTTGGCGAGCAGTAGAATGCCTGCTTTTCACACTAAAAAAAACACAAAAGAAACCTCTTGACAGCTGCCATGTGGATGATGGTTGTCATTTATTATTTCCCGAAGCGCTAAAGTATTTCAAGCTGCGTTTGAAAGCCAGATACGTCATGAATGCCAATGAGGATTCTAGACCTCTCCGTGGGAAGTACGAACAACACCTTGGCTTGGCCTGCATTTCTACGCAGCTTAATATTTGAGCTGTTTTATCCCCTCCTTCAATCCTTGAATTTGCATTTGTTCCTAGGATTCGTATCTGGACCATTTTATAAGAAAGGGGAGAGTATTGCTGAGCATGCCCTGAGTGTATTGGTCTTGCCCCTAAGTCGTTCCCCACCCCCGCCCCCTGCAAAAGGCATTGTCAAAACACTACTCTTTCTGGAAATCATACATTAGTAGAATGAATCCTGTTACAGGATAACGTATTGCTTTACACTTGGGAGATGGATTAAATCTATCCATTAAAGATGGATCTCTAGTAGCTTGGTGATTCTGCGGTTGCAAGACTGAATCAACAGGCCCTGAGTCCTGGAACAAATGAAGGCTGACAGCTTCCTATGAGTTGATGATCAGCAAACAAAGACATACTTTGGGCACGTGGTGCCAGCAGATGATAGACTGGGAAAAGAAAAAGACCAAGGCTTAACAAGATCAAGAAAACTAGAAGAAGGGGAAGGCAGTGGGAGTAACGGATGGATGGGGTCAAAGAAATTACTGGAATTTCCCTGGCTAATTACTAAAGACAGTTCAAGGTGGTGAGCGTTTGTTCATCCAGTCACCTGGCTCTATGCCCTTGACTGACTAATCTGGTTTGTTTTGCAGCTGGTCCCCAGAATATTCCTCTTTGTTACAGAAATTGCTAAAAATGACCCACAAGACCATTTCAAGAAAGCGTAATAACCCTTCCATATCTGTGAGTGAGAAGAGACTTCACTTCTTTAAAAACAGGCCAGAAACAGAGAGAAAATGCAATTTTAGGATTCCAGTACAGGTGTTCCAGCCTCTTGGAGATCTTACCTAAAATAATCTGTAAGAATGCTACTTCAAACTGTGCCAGCAAATCTGGAGAACAACACAGTGGGCTACAGGCTGGAAGAAATCAGTCTATATACTAATACCAGAGAAAGGAGACTTAACAAAATGTACAAACTATTGTACAATATCCTTAATTTCACATGCTAGCCAAAAAAAGTGGTTAGGATCATCCAGCACAGATTCGAACCCTACGTGGAAAAGGAGATGCCAGAAACTCAAGATGGTTTTAGAAAAGACTGAGGAACATGAGACATTATTGCTGATATGTGCTGGATAAGTGAGAAAGCCACAGAATACCAAGAAGAAGTCACTATGTGCTTCAATGTTTATGGAAAGGCTTTCAGTTGTGTTGACCATGTCAAGCTGTGGAATGTGTTTAGGAAGATGAGAACTGCAGAACATCTCACTGTCTTCACGCAAAAGCTGTATGCAGGTCAGGAAGCCACACTCCAGACAGAACATGGAGAAACAAACTGGCTGTAGGTTAGCAAAGGAATGAGACAAGGTTGTAAACTCTCCCCTGATTTATTCAAGCTATATGTGGAATATATATTGAGGGAAGCTGGATTGGAAGAAGGTGAGTGTGGTTTTAAAGTAGGAGGAAGAAACATCAATAACCTGTTCTATGCTGGTGACATTACCCTGATAACTGAAAGTGCAAATCATTTGCAAGCTCTGGTAATAAAAGTCAAAGAGCACGGTGAACAAATGGAACTACCATTAAATATAAAGAAGGCCAAATTAATGTCAACAGGTACAGCAACCAGCCTTAGAATTGACAATGAAGATATCAAAGTGGTGGATAGCTTCTGCCTTTTAGGATCAAATGTCAGGAGTAAAGGAACCAGCAGTCAAGAAATGTGCCAGAGTACAATGGATACTCTTCATTGTAGAGTAGCAATGAAAGCCTTGGAAAAGATATTCAGATGCCATGGTGTGTCTGTCTCTACAAAGATCAGAATTGTGCTGGTGTAATGGTTTTCCCTGAGACATTCAATGGATGTGAAAGTTGGAGTTTGAAGAAGCAGGATAGACGCTTTTGAACTTTGGTGTTGGAGAAGACTCCTGAGAACACCATGGATAGCCAAGGGGATGAACAAATGACTCATCAAACAGATCAACCCAGAGTTCTTACTCAAGGCACAAGTGACCAGGCTAAATTATCATATTTTGGACACAGTAAATGAAGATCCAGTTCTACAAAGAAGTCCACAACGCTAGGAAAGGTGGAAGAAAAGAGAAGAAATGGGTACATAGTTGGAAGACCTGAAGGACAAGATTGGGAGACAGATCATGGAGACAATCTGGGTATTCAGTCGTAGAGTCAGCACCGACTTATTGCACATATTCCTCAAGCATAAGAAGGCTAAAGAATTTTCTGTGTTCCACCTGAGTATTTGTAACTAGACACAAATATTACAGAACTGATATTATTACGAATTACAGTATTTGTAATATTATTACAAATATTGCAAGTTTCCTTTTACCATCCAAACAGCTAGCTAAATTCTGCATTCCTAAAAGTTGCCATTCCTTGGCGAATTGGGGACATTTTACAATATTTTGAGATTTAGCTCCCTGCCTTTATTTTCAGGCTTCTGCTTGCCTTTTACATTCTTTTTAAACCATCACTTAGTTTTCCTTTCTTCCTTCTGCTTTTGCATTTGCTTTCTGTTCCTGAACACACACACACACACACACTCACACACACACACACCCCAGTGCCACAGTTTAATGTATTTGGCATCCATCCATTTTTCTTTTCTCCCACGCAACTTCATGATGTCAGCTTCACCAAGGAATGGGCTGCCGACCTAATGGGATTCGTGCCGCCAACCTGCCTGGCCACCTGGGTTCATGGTGGACCTGGAGGACCAGTGGCCCTGCTGTTCTTCTCTGCCCCCTCCAAATAATTTGGACAAAACGGTTGCGCCTCCCTTCCCCAGCCAGGCCTAAGCTGTGCCTCCCCCTCTGGCGCGTGTGAAAATGGAGCCGCCTAATTGTTTCATTCGCGCGCTAAAAGAGGCACCCAGGTAGTAAATCATAGGGATAGGCTGTGCTGTCAGCCAGGCAGGAGGCCCACTCCAGATGCAGTTAAGTACTACCTTAGCAAGAGCATTTCAGCAGCACCGTGTCAGTTCAAGCATAAGGATGAGAGAAGGATCTGGGAAGGGCCCCTTAGGGCAGACAGCCCCAGCCTAAATGTTGTTTTGACACTGGCAACTTGAAAGAAGCTTCCAAGCACAGCTCTGAGAGAGATCAAAGAAGGGGAATCTCTTCTGGAGGACCTGGATGGGTGTCTAGCCTTAAGCAGGGACCGGCAACTTTTGAAGGCTCCCTTCTGTAGATGGAGGACTGGGGAGGGACAATGGCCTTCTGGAAGACAGGGAAGATGGATTCTAGCACCCTGGTGGACGGCAGCTCTTGACCCACATTGATCCTCTAGGCAGTTCTGTATGTGCCCCATTCAGATGTGTAGTGGGGGGAGGTGGAGCAGAGGGTTGATCATAAAATGAGCAACCCAGGGAAGAAGACTTGAATCAAACCATCTTGCAACCCTCACCAGTCAGATTGCACTTTTAAAAAAACATTTGGTTTTTGGTGGGTGGGATGAGGTGACTGGAAGTGACCCCAGCCTGGAAATTATCTGAGCAAAGATATTCTGGGGGAGAAGAACTTAGGAGTTGGGACAGGGGGTTGGAGTTTGGCTTCTTCCCCTCGCCCCCACCGGACATACAAGCTCTCTGCCCATCCTGCCCCCTGCTTTGATAAGGTGTGAGCAGATCCCTTGCAGCTCCCTGGGTAGGGAGGAAGGTAGAATTCTTGCTCCAGGTGGGAAGGACACGGATTGGGGAAATTCCCCAAGGAAAATAAGCTTATCCAGATAGAGGGCTGTGCTCAAACGTTTGCTCTGCCATGCTGGATTCAAGCAGGGAGGGGGCATTATAAATTCACTACTTTTGGGAGATGGTAACTGTGCAGGGTCATGGAGAAAAAATCTATCTATGTGGTCGCTTCAGAGCTGATACCGAATCAATGGCCCAGAATCAATCAGGACTTTCAGGATCATTCGCTTCTGACTGCAGAGTGTGTAGCTCAGTGTTGTCCGAACTTGGCCACTTTTGGATGAGTGGACTTCAACTCCCAGAATTCCCCAGCCAGTTGAAGTCCACTCATCTTAAAGTGGCCAAGTTTGGACAACACTGGTGTAGCTTGTCTCTTGGGATCTCAAGTTGGGTGAGATCTGCATCTAAATGGGTGAGCTGATTCCAGCGGGAGTTGTACCTGCAAGGCAGCAAGAGATGGTGCGCAACTTGCCTCCTGGGTGCGGCCAGGAGAGAATTCACCACACTTGCAGGTCACCGCTTGGAGCTGTAACGGTCAGATAATGCTCCGAGCTTGCAATTATACAGCTCAGCCGTCTATGACCTGCTGCTCTCATATCATCCTCAGCCGGCAGGTTTATTATGGGGATGAGCAGAGTCTTCTGTGTTTGCATAACACCTCTGTAAGCAAGACTGCCCGTGGTGTTTATAGCATTCAGAAATGCGAAAAACCGGAGGCAAAGGGCAAATCCTCTCTGGGGAGCAACAGAATGCCTCAAAGGGCATGCCAGCATTGCCTTGGCATCCTAAGAAAGCTAGTGTCATTACTGTTTTCTTGCAACTGTGGGGCTCGGGCTGATGTTGAATGGCCTTCCCTCCAGTGACCTGGTATGTTTACAGCCAAGGGGAGATTGAGCCCTCAAACTCCCTGACCACAGGGCATACTCTTCACCGCCAGAACCGTTGAGCGTGAATGACAGGGTGCCTCCCTGTTGTCTTCCTCATGTCCATTGATGCTCTGCATTTCTTTTGCAGTTGATGTCTTTGAACCCAGATGTTTCAGCGAATGCCTTCCAGGCCCTCTGGGAAATCAGCGCTTATCAGAACATCGCTTCCGGTCAGTGGGGAGTGACAAAGGGGCAGGGTGGAAGGAATTGTGTTTGAGAGAAAAAGGGGAGAGGTTTAGTCTGCAGAAAGAGTCCATACCAGTGTTTTTCAACCTTGGCCACTTTAAGATGTGTGGACTTCAACTCCCAGAATTCCCCAGCCAGCAGGGTCCACCCATCTTAAAGTGGCCAAGGTTGAAAAACATGGGTATAGATCCTTCAGACCAACACTTTGTTCTGCTCTGTGTCAGCCTAGGCTGAATCCAAGCATTGTTTCACATTTTACACCACACTTTGTTCAGGGCCCCTTTAGTATGATGGTTATAGGATGTATGGGGAAAGGGATGATAGGAGGAGGACCTGCTGCTCCCTCCCATAATCCTCTTCCCCAGCCACCCTACAATCATCATGGCTGAAGAAGGCTTCTGAGTGATGTATTATACAGTGGCCATGAGATGCCCGCTTCGGCCATGGGATATCAAGCCTTCCTTTCTGGGCCTTTCTGAGAATCCCTTCAGAGCAGCCCACATGGAGCTGTTGGTAGCAGGCTGGACTGGCACGGCGAAGGGCCTTGGCCCCAGTTGGCCACCCGATCCAGGCCACTGTTTGACGTGGCTGCTGCGTTTTGCCTCAGGGGAGGGCTGGCCCTATGCCAAGTCTGCCACTATATTTAAGAAGGAAGAATGAGGAATGGTCTGCAGGAGGGCGGGTGTGCTAGGAGGCTGAAATGGCTGAGCCTGATGGGTTGGCTTTTGTTGACTAGCCGAACACCTGAATGTTTTCTTGCCCAGATTTTGATATCGGGAGCACCCCTTTCCACTCTTCCACCATTTCTGGGGAATCGGCTTAGCAAGCATCTTATCTGTGTCCTCCACTCTTTTTCTGTTCATTTCAAGCTTTGAGGGGGGAGGAGAAAAGAAAAAAAAATCAAATAGCCATCCAGACTGGCAGAAGAGGTGAAGGAGTCATAATCTTCTGTCGGTGACGACGGTATCTTCTCCTTAGCGCTTAACGGTCATGAGAATTAGGATTCCAAGTGGGGAAGGAACAGGAGGAGCCCGTGAAGTTCTGCATATCTGTTATTTTGCTTTTGGGCACCGAAGAGAAATAAGGGAGGTACTAGAAGCTTTTCCTGGGTCATGGCAAGGCTCTTGGGCCAAGGTTTATTACTTTATTTGCTCCTTTGTGCCTTCAAGACAGTTTTGACCCCTGGCAATTGCATGGGCAAGCCCCTGCTGTTTTCTTGGCAACGTTTTGAGGAATGGTTTGCCATTGCCATGTTCCTAGGTTGAGAGAGAGGGGCTGGCCCAGAGTCACCCAGCTGGGTCACACCTAAGGCAGGACTAGAACTCACAATCTCGCGGTTTCTAGCCTGGTGCCATTATACCAAACTGGCTCGCCAAGAACTGTTTAATCACCCACCCGTGGTTTTCCCACACAATCAGAAATCCTGCCTTGAGCAAATTGGGACTATTCACACATCTGTGCGTAAGAAATCTGTCTCTTGATGTACATGGCTATTAACACCTTCCTCTGATCTTGCTCTGTATATTCAGAACCCAAGTGAGGTGCAGGTTTTTGTCAAGCAGTGTTGTAGCATTGTTGTGTTTGCCTTAGTTCATGGGTGGCAACCTTAATCTCCAGAGCCACGCGCAGTTCCCAAACCCATCTTTTTATAGACCATCACCAGACACATGCAGAGGGACCACGATTGCTGAAAATTGGCAGCACAGTTGCTGCTATTTTGAGATGGGAAACACATGAAACTGTAGAAGTCCTAAAATAGCTTAACATGGTTTGGGAAAAAAAAGCAACAGAGCAAGAACCCTTCAGTGCCCTCCCCCAGTTCCACAAAAAAAGAATTATCCTCCTCTGTGGGTGTGAAATGGCTCACTCTGCAATGTAGCCCATAGCACCCTCTCCTTCCCTCGAAAGCATTAACATGCAGACCACACAGCAAGGTCTACGCGCTGCGCACATTGAAAATCAGGTGGAGCTTTGATCACACCATCGCAGCCACCATCTTGACTTTTTTGGACCATACCCTGTGGACGCCCCTGAAACCACCCAGCCCAGCCCAGCCCAGCCCAGCCTTAATTGTGCAACAGCTTGAACAATAAAATGGGGTTTCCTCTGCTAACCACCCCCTCCTCAAATCTTGCTGATTATTCCAAATTGTTTGGGCCAAACCGTTTCTAGAATCTGCAGCAAAGGCTAAGACATGTCTCTCCCTGCACCGTACGCAGAAGCTAATCGGGCTGACAGTTAAATCGGGCTACAGCATTTGTGAACCGACGTCTTCCTGCACAGCTGAGGGCATCAGTCTGGCAGACATATGTCTGTCTTCTGACTTTTTTGTCTCCGCTCCCTGCCTCTCAGCATCTGCTATCTGAAGTGGCAGTCTCATTATTTCTAATTGTCGAGCCTGGCCTGAGTTCACGGAATTGCACCCCGGAAGGAAGAACCAGCAATGCCAGCCCTTTGCGCAGTCCCTCGATGCTGAACCTCCCAGGCCAAACCTTCTTTTGGCGAAATAATTTATGGAACTTGAAAATCCTGGAGAATCTAATAGAAGAGAACCTCACGTAGCTCCGGGTTGAGCTGTGGAGTCCTTGGTGCTCTCTGAGCTTGGTGGTTTTCTTGCAGATTTTGTTACCCAACTAGGTAATGTCATCAGTGCATGTGAGTGGGATGTTAGCATTGATGAGGTTATCTAGTCGGGCAATGAAACGTCTGCAAGCAACCGACCAAGCTCAGAGAGCACCAAGGACTCCTGGAGAATCTCCTTACCAATTTTAACAGGCTTTGTAGATCTTTTCCACCTAGAAATCTGGAAGAAAGGAGACACTGGGGATTTTTAACAGAATTCTCAGCATCTTTACTAATCAGTGCCCTTTAGATTTCTCTGAGGCAGTAGGTGCAATGTCAGTTAAAGATACATAACACTGAATGTTTGCTTTTAGAGTAGTTACCGTTAGTTTTGAAGCTGTCTCCACAAACTTTTGCCCTGGTTGGAGAACTGAATATAAGTGAAAAGTACATTCAGGTCAATCTATGAATGCAGCAAGTAAGGAACAACTTTTCCATTGATTTCTCTCTGTGTCTCTCTCTCTTTTTTTCCCCCCAACTAGGTCTAGAATTGTATTTTTAATAAAGATGCTGAGCTCTTGTCCCTGGCTAGGGAGAAATGGGTTCCATCCCAACTTGTTATGAATTTACCATGTTCACTTTGAGGAGAATTCAAATGCCCACGCGCATCAAAAAGTTTTAAAAACTTTTGCAGTGTGTTTCCAGACTAAGAAAGCATGCAACAATGGCTCTCTTTGATTTAAACACCCACACAAATATATATAGGATGGGTGAACGTGTCCCTGTTGGTAAAAGTGTGTAGGGAAATGTGCACATTAGGAAGAATGCCCGCCGTTTTCTGCAGAGTTAAAAAGTGTCCAGGAACTTGTATTGATTGATTCTTGTCCCTGTTCCATCCATGTGCCTGGTATGTCTTGATTTTGTGAACGGCTTTAAATCTGTTTGTAGACAGGTATTGATTCTCTCTGTAGCACGCTAGTTCTCGTTCCCCACGCTTTTTAATAAAGTGAATAGAAGTGATAGGGGATAGCAAACTCAGGCTGACATCTCAGACCAATGGCCTGGCAGAAGGTTAACAGCTGCCAGCGCAGCCTCCTCGTCTCCTTTGTCAGCTCTATTTGCTTGATGTCTGTCACCTGTTGTCACTCCTTCCCGGGCCGAATGAATCTGTGCCGCTTCCTCAGTGCCGCTAACAACGGCTGTAAGACCCCTTCCCCTTTGAGGACCCCACAGTGGGATCCGGTGTCCACCTCTGCTGGGCTGCAGCTGTGCCTGCCGCCAGAGGTGGACCTGCCCACTACAAAGCTTTCTGGATAAAAGAGCGCTATTGTGCGCTCCGGCTGCTTCTGGCACAGATGGCCACAGAGAGGAAGTTTAGCTTTGGTTCTAATGAAGTGGAGGAGGCCCCCGGGTGGGGCAGTGAACGTAATCCAGGGCTTCTGTGCAGCTGCTGGAAGAGTGGTCCGGGGTGGGAGAAGCCACAGCAGAGAAGTTCTTTGTCCAGCTCGGCTGCTCATGGGCAGGGTGGGAGAGATGCTGTTGGCTCACCTCGGAGGCACTTTGGGTGAAATGGCCTAACGGGTTAGCTGAAGCTACAGGGGCCTCTGCCTGTGGTGGGAGGGCGAAGGTGCTGCTTGACTTTCTCCAGGCCACCCTGTCAGGTCCTGAATCAGCTGTTGGGTCTTGCCCGTCCGCCAAGGCTTTGGGCCAAATTGATTGGCGTGGGTAGGTTTCTTCACTAATATTTCACCCGGAAAAATAGGGAGGGTCCCTTCTGAAACGGTTCCCACGCCTTCTCTCCTTCTGTGGGCCAAGATACCTTTTACACACTGGTTGTCCAGTCTGCGGCTCTTCCTCCTGTTTCCCAAGGTCATTTCCACCGACCATTACAGCTAGCTCCACATTGGCCTTCTCAAAAGGTGGAGAAGACTGCGAATGCTTCCCTGGATCAGGGCTTAGCTGAGAATCTAGAAGCTGACGAGTCCAGGAATTCCTCATGTGCTCTTAGACTGAACACAACCATTGCTGAAGTAACAGCACCGATCAAGCTAAGCATGGTCTTCCTGAACCATCTCCTTACCCCCACTACAATGGCAATTTCAGCTTTCCTTGCCTCTTCAGTTCCTGACATTGGAGACCTTTCCTTTCCCTCAGCTTTCCATTCTCTCACAGACTCATCTCTAGTCTGGGGATGTGTTGCATAGTTCAGCTCTTGTTATATTGACATAAAGTCTGGTTAGGATAGTGATATACTGGGGAATTTCTCTCTGCTCCTGGATGGCGAACAAAATAGATTGTTCTTATTGGTGACAGCAGAGGAGGAGGTGAGATAATGAGTATTTTGAGAGTGGGGATTGGCCAATGGCGTGTGTTTCTTAATTTCCCTTCTAAGGTAGTGGACCTGTTGGGAAGCTACCAGTGA